TTTTTATATCAATGCTTCATATATGCATGATAGTCTACTCAATGACCCCGTCTCCAGTCCTGTGTCTATTTCGAGTTATATTTGAGCTATATTTATATTTCATTTTGCCATAGTTGATTTTGTGATAGCATTCCTATTGTTGTCATTTCATTGAGTATTTCATTTTAGTTTTGCTAAGAGACTAGCAAAATGTAACTTTGGGGGTGTGATAAACGCCGAATATTGCATATTCAAGCGCCTTTAGCTGCATTAGTTAAATCCATTATTTGACTATTCTTTATAAATTATCTTTATTTGCACGTTTTTATATATTTTCAGTTTCATTGGCCAAAAAGGAGCAAAAATGGTGTTTTATTCAATCCTTGAATAGCAATGTGCTCAAGGCTAAGTTCTGGCAGCAGTGGAATCTGATTTTACTCGCCATTTTTGACCGATCAAACTCGAGAACTAGACTTCCATTAAACATGACATATTTAGAGCTTTGAATTAAATTTCCAAATCTTCAAACGGTTCGTCATTTGGAGTTCGGAACAGAAAGTTATGGCTGTTCTACCAAAGTAGTGCAAAGCAGGTCAAGAGGAAGGAGTATACTGGTCTAACTTCGAGTGCTCGAAGTGCTTAGTTCGAGCGCTCGAACTATGGGCAGACTACTCTCCGGGAACCGTCACTTCAGCCCACTTGTACCTTGTTTCCCTCATCTCTGATTTCCATCTTTATGGGTTGGTTGGAGATGTCTTTTGGTGGGGTTTTGAGCCTTGTTTGGTGGAGAGGAATGTCTACAAAAGGATGAGGACCACACATAACATCATATCTGATCTTTGCAAGATTTTTGGAGAGAGAAAGAGGAGAAAAAGATAGAGTTCTTGAAGCCAAAGGAAGGGAGCTCGAAAATGGAGGTTGCAACCAAGCTTCTTCCTTCTTCTAAAGCTTCCATGGGTAACTAATCCTCCATCTAGGGAGGTGATGAGGCCCCTCCCTTGTAAGCATGTTCTAATTTAGGCTATATTTTGGGGATTACAATGTATATTCTTTGGTCTTTTCATGGTCTAGAGCATTTTGCCTTTTGTAATGGATCTTCATGTATTTAAATGATTAATGTTGAGTCAATTATCAATCTTTGATGGTTTATTCTTTTAATCATGTTGTTTGCACTCTCATGGTGACAATGGTAGTGAGATCATGAAATGGTTTAATGGCATGTTGATAAGGACTTTGATAGATCATTGCTTAGGTGAAACCTTTGATGATTTATGCTTATTTCTTACCTTCATGTGCTTCATCATTTTATCTAGGGCTTGATAGTCTTTCATTCAAGTAAATGTGGTTAAGCTACACCTTAGTTAGGTAGTCTAAACATGTTCACCTTTGATGGATCATGCTTGCTTGAGATTTAATGAACTTCTTGAGGAGATTATAGCAACCAAGTGTGCTATGTATCATGACCATATATATATATTGTTTTCCCCCAATTTAGCTCTAATCTAGCATGTATATAGGGATGGAGGCGGATTCACTTCCCTTGTCCTCTTTACTTGTATTTCATCTCCCTTAAACTCTTGCAAACTTTTAATTTATGCACCTTAATTTTATAGCTTAAGTGACAACCAACAAATCCTCTATGAACACCCCTATCATTCTAAAAAGACTCTAGACACTTAGGTTGCCATAGATTAGCGCAGTCCCAGTGGTTCGACTTACCCGACCAATAGCCCTATTTTACAATGATTCGTGCTATTGCGAAGGTTGATTTATAATTGTAATCAACTCAACTGATCACTCACCCATTTGCTATTAGAGATTCGATAAATTATACCGGCATCTAAGAGCTTAACAACTTCCTTCTTAACCACTTCTTTCATGTTTGGATTTAATCTCCTTTGGGCATCTGTAAAAGGTTTTGCATCCTCTTCCATAAGAATGTGATGCATGCAAACAGAAGGGTCAATTCCCTTTAGATCCGCCACATTCCATGTCACGACCCTAGTTTTTAGGCTAGTGCGTCCTGTGATGAACCGAAAGTTGACTCGGCAACAGGTCCAAAATGTGGAAGTGAAACCAGAAACAAGTTTTATAGAGATATCAATAATCCCTAAGACACCCAAGTGACTTTCCATGAAGCCATAAAACTCAAAGAGAATGAAAGCGGAAACAAAGGTCAAAACGGGCAAAATCCATTAACCAAGGGGCAAAATGGTCAATTTGAAATGAGAAGGGAGATTTGACTCTAAGCAATTCAAATGTGGTCTATACAACCTAAACTAATCATTTCACAACATTCCAAGAGGTTCTAAGAACTTTGGCCAAGAATCCCACAACACACCTATTCTCGGTTCAAGAAAAACTTGACACTATCTCACTAAAACATGAATAACTCTCACTATGATTTGAATCTGAGAATGGCATTGGTACCATTGGAAAACGGACTCAAAATCCTTGAGTTTAGGCTTAAGAATCACCCCATTTGGATTAGAAATAAAGAAGTTATGACCATTTGAAGTTAGAACAATAGTGCTGAAACAAAACTGAAGAGGCAGCTATATGAAAGCTATTTAGGTCGACCGAAATGAACAGAAAAACACCATCACTTCGGTAGGCCGAAATAAGGCATCGGTGGACCAAAATGAACCCAAACAGTGATTTTGGCTACTAGAATGTGTGTTTTTACTGTGCAAATGAAATTCAAAAGCTGTCGGTCGATCGAAATGGCATTTTGGTCGGTCGAAATGACTCAAGAAAGTGCAAAAAGTCCTGCTATGCACAAGAAATGTTGAGGCTTCACCTAAGCCTCAAACCCTAACATGAATTTGTTCCCAAAACAAGATTTAAAGCTATGCAAGCATGCCAACAAATGTATTTTACATATTGAAATGTGTTACAATGACCCATTGCCTCATTACATGTCATTTACTCCAAATCACATATCAAACCTCCGAAGTTAGAAAAGTTACATTTCAAACGTAAAACTTGGAATCTAAATGCATACACATGAACTTAGTTTGTGGCCATTGGCCTCATGTCATACATATCAAAGAGGTTCTAAATAGTGTATCTAAGCACACTTTACATATCATAAGGCAAAAATGGCATATTGAACCTAACTAAGTATTACAATTCTATAAGTAAAACTTAAACATGCTAACACTTGCATGTGAACAAGAATACATTTACGAAAACTTCAAATCTACAAATCACCCAAGTCAAGTGCAAATCTCCAAATCTTGAATCCTGTACCTGAAAATAACCCCAATAACTTTAGGGTGAGTAACACAAAGCTACTCGTAGGAGATGAGCATACAAGAACCTAACTTTTTACAAGGTTATTACATTAATATGAAACAATTCAAAAGGGTCATGCCGGCTAACGTTTATGTCATAAATGAGGCTCAAGAATCATCCTAAGCTACTTTAAAGCATTTTCACCATAAACTACAATATTTATACATTTAAACAATATAAAAGCATACTATACAACACAACAAGATACAGATCATCAAAGTTATCAACTTGAAATCTAATATGCGAAAACAACTAAGTGGGTCATGCCACCTAACGTCTATGTTCCCAATGAATCTATAGGATCATTCCTAAGTTACATTTGAACAATAAAACATAAATCACGATATCGATGCAATTTAACCAACATTGGATCCTCCAATACAACGCATAAAGCATGATTTCTCAAAATTAACAGCTTGAAACTTAAAATGGGAAATCAAATAAGGAATAACAAGTCACAACATCATCTGGTTATCAACTTAAAATGAAATGCGAAATCAAACAAGGTAGATACTCGAACATCACACCGGATCAGACCGACAATATAGTTATTTTAGGGTTACTAGCCCACGGGTAACCTCCCTATGTGCGCACTAGACTATAAGAGTACAATCCCCCGTACTAGAACCATATCCTAGCCGTAGTCAAACAACGACATCCTTAAGTTTCCAAAATTAACAAGTTGTGAAACAACGCATATATCAACATGTATATACAAGATAATCAAACTATCTACCATGCACAACCAAATTTGGAAACACATACAATACATGCTCTAAGTCCACAACTACTATGGCATGACAAATGTCGAATCTTCAATGTATGATTCATTACACGCTATGGCAATATCATTCAATATTGAAAACATATACTCGTGAATTGAAATATAACAATAATGTTATCCAATGCTCAAAACGTAACCAAGTGAATACACAACAAATCCAAGTCCATAATTTAAACATAGAAATACTTCTAAAATACAATTAAATCCATTGAGCAATTAGATAGAATTTAATTAAATAAAACTAATTAAATTCTCTAGATTCTAAATCAATTCCAAATAACCTCAAATTAATATATATTAAAGGACATAGCATGGTCATTACATATATCTAGTCAAAAACTTAATTAAGCCCAATGAAACCATTAAATAGATTTTAATTAATTCTTTTAATTAAAATTTCTAGATTTTTAATCTCATCCAAATGCTCTTAAATAAACATAGGTTAGAGAACATGCCAAGGCCTATTGTTATATCACATTACAGGTTGATTTCATGCAAGTTACAACCATGTGAATTAAACTTTCACCAAAGAAAAATATTAAATAAAAGTTGCAATTCTTATTCAAATAATCCCAATTTAATATATGTCTAAATGATAAAATATAGAGATTTTTTATTTTTTATTCCAAAACTACCCTTTTTCTCTCTAGCTTGACGATTTAGGTTTAGGGTTTTGCATACGGGTTGTGGTTGGTAGGGGTGGCTCACGATGGAGGAGGCTTCGTCCTTTTCCCCTCCGCCGACAGTGAAGGACCGGCCCTCTCCTCTACCAGTAACTTCTCCTCGTCACTCATGAAGAAGTTGTTTTGAAGAGAGTGAATCCAACTCCTTTATTAATTTACGTTATGTTGCACCCGGTATTGGTTCGAAGGTTACGATCACTGAAGAGGATGTTTCAGAAGAAATAGAATATTAGAAATCCTCAGTTGTAGGATATGTGATGGGCAAGCATCCATACTACCCTCATTTCATTGAGAAGCACTGGTCCAAGGATGTTACATCGGTGTACTTGAAAAATGGTTTCTTTATGGTACGATTTCAGCACGCAATGGATGTACAGCAAATATTGTCATGCATTCATACTTTTGAAGGCCGAGCCATCATCATCAAAAAATGGAGTAAGAATGTTGTTCTTCAGAGAGAAGATTTTGATATGTTGCCACTATGGATTCGAGTGTACGATCTTCCTATGCATTGTCGTAACTCTACTTCAATCTCGAAGGTATGTTCAATTTTCTCAACACCAATTTATATGGATGATCCGTCTTTACACCAAGATAAAAGTCAGTTTGTGAGGGTTATAGTGGAGGCTGATGTGCGTAAGGAGCTGCCAGAGAATTTGGTAGTTGATATTCATGGAGAAGATTGTGCAGTTTTTATTGAGTATGAATGGAAGCCTGCTATTTGTTCCTTATGTAAACGTGTTGATCATGTTGCTGCAAGATGTCCTCAAAGAGTTTTAGAACAGGCAAAGCCTAAGAAACAAATGTTAGATAAATGGATTGTTAAACAAAAAAGGAAAATGGTAGAGTTTGAAGATGCACAACAAGTATCTGTTGAATTACTTGTGAGACCGATCCAAAGTTCTCAGGTGGTTACCCATAACTCCTTTGCATTATTAGATCAGGTGGTTGTTGAAGAGATTGGTGAAGGAGAGGATCATGTCAATCAAGTAGATTTGCCTCAAGGAGAGATAGATAACATGATCAAACAAGATACTATTCCTGTTGTTGTTGAGCAGGTCACCATTATTATGGAGAGTATTGATACAAGGGTAATTAGTGAGGGAGATACTCATATTATGGAAGTTGGTGCTAGTGTGCCAGTTGAAAATAGTAATCTATAGGTGGATTCAATCACTGAACTTGGTAGGGACTTAAGTAATTTGGCTCCTGTAGGTACAGATGCTGATAGTAACACATCTCATATTACTGCAAAGGCTACTGACAAAAAGATGGAAGCTACAGAGACACTTGTTACCCCTTTTCAAAGTGAAGGGGGAATAAGTAAAAAATCTAGGTATAGAGCTGTATTAGCCTCTGATCGAGTTACTAGAAGTCATAGAGGGGTTCCTGCCCTGAATTTAACCTCCAAATGATTGGGTTCTGGAATGTTAGAGGCTTAAACAAGCCTAGAAGACAGAGAGAGGTTGCTCATTGGATTTCTTAAGAAGCTTCTTAATTTGTTTGTTTTGTGGAAACTAAAGTTCAGAAATGTGCTTTTGTTTCTATTTCTCGAAGAATCAAGAATAGTTGGGATTGGGTTCATAATTATGATGCTCATGATTATAGTAGGATTTGGGTGGGGTGGAATCCAATCTTGTTTGATGTTCAGGTGCTGGATGTGCAGATTTAATGTATGTTACTTAAGGTAAGAGTTTTGGAGACTGGGGAGATTTTCTTTTGTTCTCCAGTATATGCTCTAAATTTGGCTAAAGATAGGATTGCTCTATAGAACTTTCTGGAACATTACTCTACTATTGCTACTGGCCCTTGGATGGCTTTAGGAGATTGGAATGCTATTAGATTTTACAGTGACAAGAAGGGGGGGAAAAAAGTGCCTCAAAGAATTCTTAATGATTTTAATGATTGTCTTCATAAAGCTGGGTTAAGTGAGGTTCATCCTACAAATGGAGAATGGTCATGGTGTAACAGACATGTTTTTTCTAGGAGAATTTTTGTGAAATTGGATAGGGTTTTCTTGAATGAGAGGTGGATAGATAGTTTGCCTAGTACTAAAGTTCTATATACATCAGCTACTTGCTCAAATCACTATGGTATACCTATTCACATTTCAAAGGAGTTTGCTGTTGGACCTAAGCCTTTTAAAATGTTGATGGTGTGTTGTCTACAAGGATATGTCCAACCTCTTGTGAAGAAAGCATGGAACAATGAAATCTCTGGTAATCCTATACATGTTCTTTTACAGAAATTGAGATTAGTTAAGAAAACACTCAAGGATTGGAATAAAAATTGCTTTGGTAATATTAGTGAAAAACTAATTAAGTCTAAGCACCATTTGGATCAAGTGTAGTTGGAGCTTTTGAGGGATCCTTCTGAAAATAATTTCCAAGTTGAACAAGAAGCTAAATTGGGTTATCAAGCTGTTGTGGTGGATCAAGAGGTGTTGGTTTCACAGAAATCCAGAATTCTCTGGCGTAAGGATACTGACAGGTGCACTTCCTATTTTTATAATAAAATGAAGCAACATAGAAATTTCAATGCTATTACCTTAGTTGAGAATGACAGTGGACAGACCACAGAGGATATGGGGCATATCAGAACCTGGTTTGTGGATTTTTATAAAAAATTGTTTGAAAAGAGAGATGCCAGCTTGCAAGAGTTTGATTTACCTGTTAAGCAGCTGAGTGTGGAAGAGGTGGAAGGTTTGGATGGTCTGGTGAGTGAAGAAGAAATCAAAGGGGTTGTCATGGGTTTTAACCCTGATAAATTACCTGGTCCAGATGGATTCCCAGCTCGCTTTTATCAAACTTTTTGGTCTGTGGTAGGCAAGGAAGTGGTTGCTGCAGTTCAATATTTTCTCTCATCCAGTGGTATGCCTATGGGGGTTAGTAGCTGCTTTCTTACTCTTATTCCTAAGGTGGGAAATGCAAAAGAAATGGGGGATTTTAGACCTATTGCACTTTGCAACCTGTTATATAAAGTAATTACTAAAATTATGGCCAATAGATTGGCAAGGGTGTTAAATTCATTGATTGGCCCTGAACAAAGTGCTTTTGTTCAAGGAAGGAAAATTCAAGATACTTTGATATTGGCTCATGAAATGGTCAGGGATTTTAAGGGTTGAAGGCATGCATCTATGGCTGTAAAGGTGGATATTAAGAAAGCTTATGATTCTGTTTCTTGGGATTTTTTGCTTAGGAACCTCAAAGGTTATGGATTCAGTAATGTGTGGATTAAATGGATTTCTTCCATCCTTGTATCTACTAAATATTCTGTTCTGATTAATGGTTCTCCCCAAGGGTTCTTCCAACCAGGGAGGGGTCTTAGACAAGGCTATCCATTGTCTCCTATGCTATTTACCTTAATTACAGAACATCTTACCTCCATTATCAATTCTGCCGTCCACAAAAAGGAGCTATCTGTTACTCATACTGCAGCTAAGGTTCATCCTGTGTTAAGTCATGTATTTTTTGCTGATGATTTGTTGATTACCTGCAAAGCTTCTATTTCAAATGCTAGAGTTCTAGTAAGTTTGTTCAAGAAATTCGAGAATTTAACAGGTTTACAAGTCAGTGAACATAAAAGTAGTGTCATTTTTTCAAAGGCTGTGGGGCGGAAGTTATCAATGTTAAGAATTCTGAAATGCTCTGAAGAACATTTTCCAATTAAGTACTTGGGGCTTCCTTTATGTCCTTATGGTTTGAAGAAAGAAAATTACCAGGGATTGATTGATAGGGTTTCTAATAGAATTAAGTGTTGGACCACTAAATTGTTATCAGTTGCTGGTAGAGATAAACTCATTAGATCCACTGTCATCCCTATTTTTCTATACTGGTGTAGCATTTATAATGTCCCTATTTATGTGATTAATCAGTTGCAAAAAATGTGTAGAGATTTCTTGTGGGGTAGCACTGATAATTCTAAGAAAATTCATCTCCTGAGTTGGGATATGATCACTAGATCTAAAGCTGAAGGTGGTCTTGGTTTGAGGAAGCTGGTGGATATCCAATCTGCATCTAAAGTTGTTCTAGCTTAGGATTTTTTGACAAGTAAGTATAGGCTCTGGGTTTCATGGTTTAAAAACAAGTATACTCTCCACTCCACTTTTTGGACTGCTATTACTAAGGTAACTCACTCTATCATATGGAAATCTGTTGTGGAGACAAGAGATAGTATGTTATAACATGTTGATTTTCATATAGGGGCTGGAAGATCAGTTTCTCTTCAAGATCCTTGGTGTGATGGTTTGACAATGGTAAATAAATTTGGACATAGGATTTTTAGATCTTTAAATGTTCCTAGAAATGCTAATTTGGATATTCTAATGGTGAATGGTAGCTGGGATTTAAATCTCCTGCAGGGACAAGAATTACAGCAGCTGAGGGAATATCTTTTGTTGCGACCTATTCACACTTCAGCTGACAAGCTTCTGTGGAATAATGGTAAGTTCTCATATAAGGAAGCTTGGAAAATTTGTAGATTTCAGGCAGAGGAAGTCAGCTGGTACAAGTTCTGTTGGGGCAAAGCGAGACCTAGATGGTCTGTAACTGCAGTTTTTGTGATGTTAAACAAAATTCCTTCTATGGTAAATCTCCAAAGAAGGAAGTTATGTTTAGTGTCTAGATGTTCATTGTGTCAGAGTGCTATTGATACAATAGACCATATATTTATTTCTTGTACATTTTCTAAAGATTTTTGGAGCTGGCTGGGAGAGATTCTGAAGTGGAATATGCATCAGTTTGCTGAAGTCGTGTCTTTAGCTGATCTGTTCAACTGGTTTTAGGTTGTTGCAACTGTGGGATTTCATAAAACATTGTTTCCTGCTATGCTTTGGGGAATCTGGAATGAGAGAAATGTTAGATTGTATGGTACTGCTACTGATCCAGCGATTGTGGCAAAGACTTTGTTGTTAGAGGTGTTGGATATTCATAGTATCCTTCTCTCTGACCTACCTATTTGATTTGGTGAATTGTCTTTTATCAGTTTGCTGAGTTAAATGGCTGTGACAAGGAGCTGGTTTTTCTTGTGCTATTTTTTTTATTCCTTTGTCATTTATGTTTTTCAGCCAGTTTTGGTTTAAGGTGGTTTTTCTCTTGTTTTGTTTTGGAGATGGATTTTTCCACTTTTTCTTTTTTGGTTTCTTTCTGTTTGGTAAGTTTGGATGTTTGTATCCAACTTTATTGGTGCCTTTATATTCTGAGGGTATGCCCTCTGTGACTCTTGTACATATTTTTTCTTCTTTTATACAACCACAATTATGAAAAAAAAAAAATTTAATATATGTCAACAAACATACTAAGGCCTAAATTTCTAGCATGGCATAATTTAATTCTAAGTTGTATACCATCATGAGAATTAAATTTTATTCAAAGAAAATAATTAAATTAAATTCTAGAATTTGAACTAAAGCACGCATACAAGTTGTATAAGCATCAATAGCATGCAAGACAACAAAAATATGGAATTATAACATCCCCTACCTCATTTTGAGATGAAATCTCAAATCCCACTGAAATGAAACCGCTCCAAATCCGACGAAACTTCTAGGTTTTGTCGGGGACAACAGGTGATCATTAAACACTAAGGAAGTCCTACCAAAATCCTAACTTGGCTTCAAACCCAAACTCAAGAAATAGCCAAAACCAGATTCCAATTGGTGGAATCGAAGGCCTCGCCAAGGCGAACATAAAACACTAAGGCACTACGACTTTTTACTGAAGGGAGGAGGTTCAAAAGAAGAGAGAGAAGGTGGCAGCCCTTGGTTGCCATGGATTCTGGCCAAGAGTGGGGAGAGAGAGAGAGAGAGATCAGATTTTTTTTTTTTTTCATTTAAGTCATTCTATTTATAGTAAAACCCTAAAAGTGGCCCACCTGGTCCGGAAAAGTGGAATTTGAGCAGACACACTCAAACGGTGAAACTCCATGAATGAAAAAGAACCAAAATGAGAAAATATGAATAGCGAAAGAAATGGCGTTAAAAACTGAGTCCCGAGCAGAGAGATATGACCCAAACAAGTTTAGCAGCATCTGGGGTCTGAAACCCTAAAATTGGGGTAAACGGCCAGTAGACAATTCTAAGAGTACGTGACATGATGAAAAGTTAAAATGAATCCCTTACAAGGATCCAAGCTTAAAACGAGGCATATTGCAATAACTTTCATTAATTACACAATGGCCCCTACAAAAAGTGATAACAGTAAAACTGGCCTAGAATGAAAATATCTTCCAAAAGTTATTTTCTAAAAAACCCCTGAAATAAAATATCTTCAAAAGATATTTATGAAAAATACCTTAAGAAACAAAAATGTTTCTTGTAATGACCCGGTCATTTTCTTTCCTTTCCTTTTTCCTCAAATTTTACGGATAAATTTTTTTCATTGTCTTTTCTATTCTGTGTTTGGTTTCTCGTCACTTAGTTTCATCTCTAGTGCTCAGAAATGGTTTCTGAGACTCTTTTCTTTGGATTGACAACTTCTTTTAAGGACCGAGTCATTTCCGCATTTTTCATTTTTCGATACTATTCATTTTTCATCATTTTCCCTATTTTGTATTTTCCCCGTTTGTCACTTTGTTGGCATAACCTCACTTTCTATGTTTAAAGTTGGTTTTTGACTTCATATATCTTCATTCTAAGTGGTTTCCATAAAATATGTATCTTTGCTTTTGGAGTAAAGTACTCTGGTTGCTCCCGGTGTCCATAGGAGCATGGATGTATAGTTTTTCAGAATCTTTTTCTTTTCTTGGGGTATTTTTCATAAATATCTTTTGAAGATATTTTATTTCAGGGGGTTTTTAAGAAAATATTTTTGGAAGATATTTTCATTCTGGGTCATTAGTGCAGTTTTCACTTTTTGGAGGAGCCATTGTGCAATTAATGAAAGTTATTATAAAAATGCCTCATTTTAAGCCTGGATCCTCGTACAGGGATTCATTTTCACTTTTTGTCGAGTCATGTAATCTTAGAATTGCCTTATGGTCGTTTTCCCCCAATTTCAGGGTTTCTGGCCCTAGTTGCCGCCGAACCTGTTCGGGGCATATCTCTCTGCTCGGGACTCAATTTTTGACGCCGTTTCTTCCGTTGTTCATCTTTTCTCATTTTGGTTCTTTTTTGTTCATGGAGTTTTGCCGCTTGAGCACGGCTACGTGAATTCCACTTTTCTGGACCCAACGGGACATTTTTAGGGTTTCCTATAAATAGAATGCCTTAAAGTGAAAAATCACTTTTTCACCTTCTTCCTTCATCGCTTGACCGGATTCCATGGCAGCCAAAGGGATTCCACCTACTCTCTCTTCTTTTGAGCTTCTTCCCTTTGTTAAAAATTCATAGTGCCTTTGTGTTTTATATTTTTCTTGACTACGCGCATCTTTCCCCCTGATTAGAATATGTTTTTGGCCATTTTTTGAGTTAGGGTTTGAGGTCAAGTTAGGATTTTGGTGCATCCTCTTTGGAGTTTATCGTTCACCACGTTGTCCCCGACAAAACCCGAAGTTTCATCGAATTCGGAGCGGTTTCATTTTGGTGGCATTTGAGATTTTCATCTCAAATTGAGGTAGGGGGTGTTATAGGTTATTATTTTTGTTATATTGCATGCTATTGATGCTTATACAACTTGTATGCATGCTTTTGCTCAAAATCTAGAATTTAATTTAATTAGTTTCTATGTTTAAGATTTAATTCTCATGATGATATTCAACTTAGAATTAAATTATGGCATGCTAGTAAATTAGGCTTTGGTATGTTGGTTAACATATATTAAATTGGGATTATTTGAATAAAGATTGCATCTTTTATTTAATAATTTTTTTTGTGAAAGTTTAATTATTATGGTCGCACCTTGCATGGAATTAACTTGTGATAGGCTATTAAATTAAGTCTTGGCATTCTCTTTAACATACTTTAATTTTGGAGTATTTGGATAAGTATGAAAATCTAGAGATTTTAATTAAAAAAATTAATTAAAATCGATTTAAGGGTTCCATTGGCTTAATTGAATTTTAAACTTGATATTTGAAATGATTAGGACTTGTTTACTAGCATATATATAAATTTAGGACCATTTGAAGTTGCTTTAGAAGTTAAAGATTTAATTATCATGATTTAATTAAATTCTACTTTGTTGTTCC